CCTATGTTATGGACAGCCTTGAAAGTGTTCAAATTACATTGATATTTTAGATGCTTTTGGTATTCCTCTTGGAGATTTTTAATGAACATTCTCACAGATTCTATTTCATTAGGAACATCAATTATTCTAGCAGAAGTTTCTTTCCACCTATTGTAAAATGCAGTAAAGCCCCATTCTCCTTTTTCTTAAGGATTTCAAGTTCCCTATGATCAATTTCTACTTGGACATTACATTTGTACTTGTCAATGAAAGCATGGGTAATAATGTCCCAAGTAGGAATTTTCACATAACCTATAGAGAAGAACCATTGTTAGCATACTGGTTCTAAGGACAGAGAGAATAGTGAGGGGAAGATTTTCTTATCAATCCCCTTAATTTCCATGATTGTTTCAAAAGCCTTTAAATGGAAGTAAGGATTATCAGCGTCTTTGAACTTAGGAATGTCAGTGGCAGAGAACTTGTAGTCATTGGATAATTAACTTAGGCTCTCTTCGATTCACTTGATTGTCTTAGGTGGAACATATTTACCAGGGTCTTCGGCTTTCTCCATTCGAGTGGTGAGTACTTTGACGAGTTCGACAAGATCATCTAGTGTCTTTTGGATTTTGTCAACATCTTCTTGTATGGCCACCATTTTCCTCTTTCTTCGAACCGTGTTCTGGAAAAAGATTACTTGTACGAAGGTGTAATCTCGAATAAAGCGCCCTTCTTTCCTCAACCAAACGCTGTAAAAATTAAACCATTGACTCTTTTAATGACTTGACTCTAATTGACTCGTCCTTTATGGGGTTGAAAAGAAAAAAATGGGTGCATATTTTGTGGGAATCAAGTAGCAAAGACAAGGTTTTCAAGCAACATGGTTTATTTTGGGAGGATACTATCCGACTAACCCCCCTAAAAATGACGGAAAACAACGCATGCAAGACTCTAAGCATGGTCATGGTGTGAAAGAAAAACATGTACAAAGTGTGTGCAAAGACTCGTGAGTGAAACTGATATTTATAAGACTCGTGTAATGACCGTGGGACTAGACACGTGGTTATACTTAAACAAGACCAGGGAATACCAAGTACAGACATTAAACTGGTTAATCGTAATAGTGGGACTCGATGCGAAGACTCGGAAAGAGGTAGTCGAACCATCGCACAGCGATGGGACCATTGCATGGCATTGGTTCCAACGCGGGGCGACAATACTGTCGCGGCGCGCTGGTAGCCAACATCCTGCGCTACAGATTAAAGTGGCTCGCCATCACTGGAACGTCACTGCAATTTGTTTTCATCCATTCTTTCAAAGGTTTAAACCTATAGTCTTCTAGGTCGAGCATATTTAGACTTTATGGGTTCATAGTAATTAACCAATTTAATTAAGCAAATTCCTTTTAGTCCTTGGTTAGTATGTATAGACATATTTACAAGAAATAAGTTAACACAAAGGGTTAGTTTAATCACAAACAAAGGATGCACAAGTAGTCACAATATGATGCAATGAGTTTGCCACCTAACCATGGCTCTATTTCTCTAAGGTCAAGGATTTTGGTGTCCAAGAGGGTCCATGGTTAAGAGTCTGGATGCATCGGACAAAAGCCTTACCTTAGAAGGGTTGGTACGATAGACGAGACCCTGAGAGTTAGACTCAACTCCATGGTTTGGTAAATTCAACAAACTCGGATGCACCCGTTATTGCACAGAGCGTTTTTAGGGTGGATGGAGCGTGAATTCCCAAGGTCTAAAACCATATGTAAAATACATATTGGTTCGAAAAGGTCAAAAAATCTTAATCAGGAAGTAAAATTGTCGAAACGGTGCTAAAATTGGGCGAAACAGGAAGACGGAAAGCTGGTGCAAAATCACTAGAATATGTCGTTAGAAAACAGTAACCAATGTCTGGCGACAGCTCTGTCGCGGTACGACACAAGGTTGTCGCGCAACGTTGGTCATTATCGACGTGCGATAGTTCTGACGCTCTGCGACAGTTTTGATTTTCGGTGTTTTTCCCGATTTTTCACAATGTCTTTTCAATTTTAGTTGTGAAAAATATTTCCGGCCTATACTACGTGTAAGTCTTATATTTTTTATGCATTACGGATAGTCTTTCCAATGCGTACCTTTTTATGCTTATGCCACTATGTTAATCAAAATTACGCACATGAACATCAAGGATCATTTAAGTCTCATTTACTCATTCTAATCGATTGCTAGCTAAACGAATTTAGGAATGAACATAGAAATCCTCTTTAGTGGAGTCGCCAAAAACTTTTGGGAAATTTTCAACTCTCGCCCTACATGTGGGTCATGTTTTTAAGCATGGAGGCATTCCAAGGAAAAGAAGTTAGAGATAAAAGAGTCGCCAACAAGTTTTAGGAACTTGTAAACCGTTCACGGTGTGAAGGTTACACCTTATTCACAATCACAGAGGTTGCTAACTCCATAGTGGTCCGGAAGCATGACTAGATGTTCGGGGATGATGGTACCAGTTTGACCTAAGGAAAGCCAAACCCACCCTAAATAGGCCTCTACTTTGATTCTTTTGATATTCATGCGCGCTTTTCGATCAACATACATACATTAAATTAAGCCTAAACCTGTCTAATCTACGTTGGTTGATTATTAATGCACAATCAAACCTATTATTAGTGATCACTTTAATTAAAGTCATATTAGCCTAAAATCAAATTATTAATTATCTTATTAGGCGTGATTTCAAGAACAAATTCTCTTTAAACCTGCAATAAGGGGCGTGATCAAGAAATAACAATAAATCATGAATAATCAAGCAACATATGTTTAATATAACAATCATCATAAAAGCATCAGCAAAACATCGTTAGTAAGATCCTAGGCATGATACTAATAATAAAATCAAAGCATGTTACTAATAAAAAAATCAGAGCATTATCCTAAGAATGATACTAGAAATCATAACAAGCATCCTAAACATGATACTAGGAATTAACATAATACTATAAACACGATTTCTACTCCAAAATCAAAAGAACAGTAGTAAGGGGCAATTGAATTACTTACTTTGATGTCTCAACCTTCTTACTATTAAAACAATACACACGTTAGTAAACTTCAAGAAGGTTAAATCAATAAAGAAAATAAATCAAAATGAATTGAAATATAGATTTGGGACCAAACTCTCAGAACTATCAACCTTTCACGTCAAGATCGAAGGCAACGTCGAGTATGGTTAGGAGGATCCGAGTTTCGCAAAGGAGGTATTGTGGCTGATTGGGAGAAATCAAGGGTGTGTTTAGGCTAAGGCTAAGAACATGGGTGTTTAAGAAAGATTATGAGGGATTGATGATGATTAGAGCTAAGGATTCTTGATGATTGTTGCGCGGAATTATGATGGTTGTTGATCAAGATTATGATGGTTGTTGATCAGGATTATGATGGTTGTTGATGATCTGAAAACAGGGAAAACGACCTTTATTTATAGGGAAAAAAGTGAGTCTGGACGATTATAGAAGATCAAAAATTCAGAATAAAGTAGGATGAGTTTTGACACGTCGCGACAGCACTGTCGCGCCGCGTTAGGGCTATTGTTGTGCGATGGTTCTGACGTCGCGCGCTGGTTCTAAAGGATAGCAAAGCCGTATGGAGTTTGATTTCTAATGGAATTGTATTTCCGGAAGATATCCAGACGTCTCCGTATCCGAATAGAACAAGGATCATCAAAAGGAGAACTTTATTCCTTTTCGAACTATTTGATCTTCAAAAGATAAATTAGAACCTTCTAGAAACTTCTAAAAGAGTCGTAATTAGTTTAGGATTAGAGATATGATTATATGGGGCCTAAATAAGATATTTGGACTCCACATAACCATTGGTTTGTAGCTAAGGTGGACCAAGGCTCAGTTTAGTGTTTTGGTCTTAACTTATTTGTTTTAAGTCGGATTTGGGCTTATAATATATCGTTGTAAAACTCTTTTCAAACCCCATCCAATTAACCAATAATTGGACTGAGGATATGGACCAAAATAATCTGGTTTGGACGTTTTTATGATTTGGACACGAGATGAATGATTTTGGGTTTAAAGCACGAAATGAATGATTTTGGATTAAAATATTTTAAGCAAAGTTAGGAATATGGTCAAGGCTTGAAGAAACTTCCCGAGACTCTTCAACTCTTTACCGAACTCATTAATCAAAGACGTGAAAGGTACTCATCACTAGATTTGGTTTTGGGGAGACACAATCAGGTGTCTACAGCTAGAAAAGATTTTGATAGCCTTTCGATCCTAAAGGAGTATATATAGGCACATATAGGAATATAAGATTCTAATTCTAGCACTCGGTGCAAGGGCCATGTGCTTAAGCAAAACTTGTGTTAGTCTCTAGAATTGCCAAGCGAACGAGATGAGAAACGTGGCGGACAAATCTTTTAATCTGGCGAGTGGCGCAATGGGTTGTGCCTAGCTATTTTTTGCGCTCATCGCGAGACCTTAATTTCCTATTAGGATACCACATGGTATAGTTTCCTTAGCCCTTAAGGCATCAAATTGTTGTCTCGCTGAGCTTAAAAAAGAAACGAGAAAGGATGAGGTACATTATTGACAACACCTTTAGTTCGGTGAGTGGCGCAATGGCTTGCATCTGGCGCATGTTCTACGCTCATCGTTAGAACTTGATTTCTTATTGGGAGATCACATGGTTTTGTTTCCTTAGCCCTTAAATCATCAATTAGTTGTCCTCCTAGGCTTAAAGAGGGTCATCGGGCTTTAAAGAACGGCATTTTGCGTTATCAAAAAGGTTTTGATTCTGAAAAGGGGTTTGGGCTTTGAAAGTCAGTGTTGGGCCCTACTAAGCAATTTTTAGCTTAAAAAAGTGATTTGGGGATTTTTAAATTGCATAAACATAGCTTGAGCTTTAAAGAGTGCTTTGGAGTTTTTGAAAAGGATGCTTAGATTACTAGCAATTACATGCTAGAAATTATTTCTTACAATTACGAAAGCATTAATATACTAAAAATTACTCCACAATTCAACGTTGTTAAAAAAGAATAACTAAAGGTACTCATATTTTAGTGCTGTGCACTAATTAACATTAAAATTGTTATTGGTTTCATTTCTTTTGGACTACAATCATAAAGATAAAAGCTATTATCCGGCTAATAACCCCGCTTACAATAAGAAATATTAAACAACGATTCCAATGATTAAGACTATAGCCACTTTGCATCAAAGATCCACAGCGAGTTATTAGCCACACTCCATCATACCTACATAAAAAGAATAAAACATGGTCATTTTCAATATAACATTATGTCATAATCAAAATTTGTCACCTAATTAAATGTACTCAAATCTCTACAAAATTAATGAGTTACCAAACTTTTTTTTGGTATACTTAGCGTGAATAACGTACTTTTCAGCATTTGCAATAACAAAAGCCTCTAAAGCCCATTTTGAGTAGGTAAATTTTCCTACTTCAAACATAATTTTGCTTTCTTTGTCTTGGCTTGCAATGAGTGATAATACTACTGGAAGAAGTACACACCACTGTAATATAAATCAAAAATAAATATTTATATAAGTAAAAATAACAAGGAAAAAGTATTCCCTCCATCTTTTTTATTTGCTACATTTTTATGCAAAATCGCTCTCTTTGTTTTTTTTTTTTTGTTTTTTTTCATCAATAATTGTGTCAAAATTGAATATAGCAAATAAAAAAAATTATAGGGAGTACTAAGAAATGGTGTGTTTTTGAAGTAGCTAATTTGTGTTATTTACCAGTTGTGCAGGACCTGGCTGGAGAAGTATCGCTAAGCCATAAGCTACCCCAGTCACACAATACACAAGACAAACCAGGACTATGTAATTGGCTAAGAAGCTTGATCTTGGATTGTTGGAAAAGTAAAACACTGAGAGGTAAACCAAAGGCTTAAAAAGAGTGTTAAATTGATCAATTGTATCTTTAGAGAGAAAATATGCCAAACTACTCATTCCAGACGAACTTTCTCTCCAATATTGTAATCTATCAAGCGTGAATGATCTCAAAGCTGAAATCTTACATAATAGGGCTGCCAAGCAACAGGATACACAAGTATGAGAAACATTTTTTGTGATTAATTAAAAATTGTATATGTGGGGATCAATCGGAAATAACTAAACTCTCTGTTGTTCTTATTTTTCCTTTTTAGGTGTATCAAAATTATATTTATGATTGGAATTTTCCTTCATGATCTTACTTTTTGTACCTAAAGAGCCCCCACAGTTTAACAAAAATACATATATTACCCTCATTTTGTAAAAAAAATTGTGACCCATCTTTTTTTGTTTCGTTTCTCAATAACCAATTATAACCAATTCATACCCTTTCCTTCTATTTGTTTCATTCCTCAATTTTCTGTTATGGATTAATTCGATTTTTTTTTCAAGAAAATAGAATTATTTCCTTTGAAATGAATAGTTACACATTTTCTAGTTCATCATATTGCAATATTTAAACCTTAAGAAATGACTATACGTAGGATAACAAATTTAGTGGAGATTATTTTAATAATAGTCTAATCATAAGTTTGCTATTGCTTAGACATGTATATAACAGAAATTCCTATAGAATATAGAAAATTTAAAATATATAAAGCCATATTGTCTAAGTTAATGGTGTAAATTTATATGGGTTTTGGGGCATAAAAAATACTTACATACGGCAATCACAGTGTAGTTATAACCAATTGCACCAAATGTTTCATCGCTCACTTTAGCAAGAGTTCCTAAACAAGCTCCAGCAAGTAAAAGAATTAAATAATCCACAGCTTGTAATTTAGCTTCACGAAGTCTTTGCTTTCCAACCCTAAAAAATAAATCACATAATTGAGCATCTAGTGAATCAATTTGAATAACATGGATAAAGATAACTTAGGTTAGGTAAAGTACAATTAAATATGAAGGAATAATGTAGTTTCTTTAATCAACCTTGAGAACTTTTTGGCTAAATTAATTTTTTTTTCTTTTTTTATTTGAAAAAAAATGAGCAATCCATTAGTATTATCATCAATTTGAGTTTTAATAAAGTAATAGTGTAATACAATTATTCACACTTATCACCACTTTTAATAAAATGACATTATTATTTGGTACCTTTAATATATGATGATTGGAATTATAGCTTCATAATTTTTATTTATATTTTTAATAAAGGATTAGAAACATTACATACCTTCCTAGAAAATATCTATATTGTCGCATTATCCCTGGGGTTATGCGATTTGACAAATCTTGTTTTTTTAAGAAGTTGTGCTTAAGGTGCTCTCGTCTTAATACAAGTGCACACTTAATTTCTTGAATAAGATCTCCAATAAAAGATTTATCATGTCGTTTATCAACATGAGGTTTTAGAGAGCTATCAGGGGAAGAAGTGCTAGAAATTTCATCACAAAGATGCAACATATCTTGAGGTACTGGATAACCATTATGAAGCATCCATCTCACGGGAAGTTGTTCACGTGTAACATTAGATCCTGACTTAATTATTCCCTCTAAAATATCAATATAATGATCTGGAGGAGTAACTCGTTCAGGTACAATGATCCCTAGACCTGCAAAATATTCTTCAACTTTCTTTTTTGGGCCATGGTACACTGTTAGACCTCCTTTGGCAAGTAATATGAAGTCGTCGAACATTTTAAACAATGCATAGCTGGATAACAAATGAATTATATATTACCATATAGCAAAAACATAATATTAAAATTTGATGATAATAATAACTTGGTGATAAAGAAATCTACAAGTTCTATAATACTTCACTAGGAAAAATACATTGTCAACAAATAATCAACACTCAACCTAATCCTACTTTCCATCATGGAGAAACCGGCCTATTTAGGCATTTGTTATTATAATTATATTTTTCTTCGTGTGAATCCCCACCTTTTACAATGTTTGAGATAACTCTTATGTATAGTGTTTAGACAATTATACCCTCTTAAATTTTTATTTACTTATTTTTCCCTTATTAATGTTTATTGCCTTTTTTAACTCTTAACAATAGTGAGTAGACATTTGAATCCCCAAAAATATTTATTTACGTATTTTCCCTCATTAATACTACCAACAACTAAAGTTGTGACAAAAGTCCAAACCGATAGAGCTTCCTAGACATAGGTAACTATGATGCTCGCGTTAGCCACCCTAGTATAAGAAAATTTATGTCCTTCAATAAAGAGAAAAGTAATGATATTAAAAAAAAAAAAAAAAAAAACAATAAATTTTAGTTTTATCTCATTTGAGTAACCATTGCCTCGTGGTATGAATAAGAAGATAAAGTATGAATTTTAATCATGCTTTGATACCAAAAACACAAAAGGCTTATTTTCTTAAATGAAAAAAGAGGCTCTTAGAATTTTATACTACGAGGCTCTTACCAATAAACTAAGATCAAATGAAAAAGAGGCTCTTAGAATTTTCTTAAAGGTTGTCGAGCTATATCATGACAATGATGATAATGATGATGATGATAAAATCCCACTAAATGAAATGGTAATAATTTTAAATTACCTCGGTTGGTGGATGACCATGCATATGTTTACTCCTTCAAGAGCTTCACGTCTAAGAGCTCTTAGAAGTAAAAGAGACGAAGAACTATCTAAACCAGAAGTAGGCTCATCTAAAATTAATAATGAAGGTTCCATAACCATTTCTAACCCTACGTTTACTCTTTTTCTTTGTCCTCCAGATATCCCCCTTTTCTCAACTGTTCCCACTAAAGAATCACGTATTGCCTGTAACCCTAAAGCTTCTATTACTCTTTCTACAACCAGAACCTTATCGGCCTTTGGAAGATCACCAGGTAACCTGCATATGAAGATATACATGTACTCTTAATATGTTAAACAGTCATTGTATTACACATAGACTTATCAAGTAATTAAGCTAAAGAGATTAAACCCAATAATAAGTTTTATATATGCAATATTTTATACAAGTTCATGTTTTTAGATTAAAATGTATAATTACTAAATTAATATTTCCAATGAACCTATCTCATAACATGTAGAAAATAAGTATTACCTTTGTATAGAAAAGTATACGAATAACATATATACTTTATTGAAAATTAGATATGAGATTGTAATAATAATTAAAATATTATTTGTAGTAGTTTAGTTATGTAATTAGCTCAAAGTTTCAATCTTTTATAAATACTCAAACATATTGCATAGACAATAAGGCTTAAGCAATACATATTTCCCTTAAAAAAATCTAATTCAAGTAATATTTTTTTTTTAAAAATTAATCGCCTTGAATGTGCATTTATTAATTTTTTTTTATAGATTTTTTAATAGTTTATTTAAAGTCACATAATGATTTGAAACTTAGTAAAGCAAACTAACTAACAAAGATTATATTTTAATAATATATCGATCCTTAATAATACGGTGTGATGATTACAATATTATACTACTAACTTTTGCAGTATGTTGTTTATGTACAATTCACCACAGCATAATAATTTTAGCTTGAATAGTCAATAAAAATCATTTAGCTTACCTACAACGAGCACTGAATCTTAGATTTTCTTCTACAGTTAGGTTCCCGTGCACAATATCATCTTGTGGGACAAACCCAATGATCCTTTTGTAAGAGTGAACTGATTCATTTTTCCCATTGATGAGAATTTGTCCCCTTACATTACATCCAGTAGCTTTTCCTGTGACAGCTGAAAGAAAAGTAGTCTTCCCGGCACCAGAAGGACCCATGACTGCAGAAACTCGACCAGGCATTAGTTTTCCAGTAATGCACCGTAATAAATGTTTGTGTTTTCCTTTTAAGGTTAAGGTTAAATCTTTAAAAGCAACCTCCAATAAAGGTCTTTTTCGGATTTCGGTATCAGTAGCCATAGAAATTATTCCAGAAAATGTAAGGTTCTTGTTTTCTTGTTGCATGGCCTTCTCTTTTTCAAGTTGCCCATATGCATACTTAAAAATTTGGCTTCGTGTGTGTAATTCTTTAGCTTTGAATTGTTTTTTAATATTTTTATCCCCAATCTCCATATTAAAGCCCTCACTACTATCCGGATCATCCTCAATTTGTTGCATCATTTTTGTAAGTTTGCTATGTCCTTTATTTTTTGATTTTGAATCCGAAGAACTTGTAACATCATTACTTGTAGGTTTTGGTTGAAACCCTTTTGATGGGTCTTGCCTTGTAGATTTTTTCTTAGAAAATGTGCGCGATAATTGTTGTTGTAACCCAATAGCGCGATTTCTAGCATTTTCCTTTGCTACTTTCCACCTTTCACGAGCTTGTGCAGTTTCTTTTGCACTTCTTATTGCACGCTCTCTAGATCTAGCTAACCTTCTTTCTCGAGTAGTAAGTACTTGGTCTGAACAATTATATACAAGAAGTAGACTGGTACTTAATATAGCCTAAAAAATAAAAAAATTGATGTGTTTGTGAATATGCATATGCTATGGTAAAAAAGAAAAAAAAAATACAATCATGATGTATATGTGTAGTAATGATTAAGTCTTCCATCCAGCTTCACCTTTTCACCCTTGTAATATCATATACTTCTTATTCTCTTCCAAATTCTTCCAACTTTTGTATAGGTCGTTATACAAAATCCTTTCAATTTTGCCTATTTTCCTTCTTAGATAAATGTGGTTTTCCCTTTCTTGCACCATTTGTTAGACTCAACTCTCCACACTCTTTCTTAAGCACATTCTCTTTTATATTACAAAAAGAGCTCACTTTTCTCTTTTCTCATTTTCTTCGTAAGCATTATTATAGAAAGTGAAGTAATATAGAGTCAATAGAGAATAGAGGAAGCGATAATCTTGACCGTCTTTTTTTTTTTATAATTAAAATGTTAGATTTATCTTAATGTATAACTTTATATTATCAATTATTTATCAATTTTACTAAAGAAATTAAATTATATAAGTAATTAAAGTTGTGTGTTGATTAATGTCAAAATAGAGTAACTAAATTGTTATATAAGGACTAAGGTTTTTGCACAAATTACCATACTTGTTTTTATTTAATATTTTCCATGCAATTTGATTTATAAATCATGCTAAGTTTTTATGTGTCAACTTTCGTATCAAAATAATGTTAATTCAACATTTACATAAGAATATTTCCACAGGCAGTGTAGTAGTAATATTTCTATGACAAAATGATAACATGGATATCAAACACTTACAATGAGTAACATGCCGTAGGCATGTATATTTTGATTAGCAACTTTATCGTTACAGCTAGCCAATTTGAAGCATGCTGCAAGAAAAGTTATGAATGATGATACTTTACAACAAGGTCATGTTCTGTTAAACGCTATAATTTGAATTCAAATCATTAACTTATATAGCTACATGGAAATATTATGGATATAAAATGCCAAAACAATTTTTGCAGCACTTGAAGTCAATTGGTTACTGAAAAACTAAACAAAAGATTAATAGTCTTCAAAAAAAAAAATATTAATGAATTTAAAATTTAAAAGAGAATTGATTGAAGCTCTAAGAGTTATAAGAACCTACGAAATTAAAGTGATTATGAAATGTACCATAACTAAAGCATAGTAAAGATGCACCTAGAAATTGTATAATATTTAAATAGTTTAAAACTTACGTTTTTCTTGAGTTGAACCTTTTCTACAATAATGCCTGAAAATTCAGAAAATTATGTAGTTAACTCATAAAGATATCAATATAAGGCATCTAAAACTTGTTTTACATAGATAAGAGCACATGACAATTAGAAAAAGTTAATATCCTAAAGTACATTGCATTTATGAAACGAGTCAAATTGATATTTTCACAAAGTTTTTCAATTATATACCATACCTGACATTACATGAAAGTTCTTCAACTGTAGATGGACAATATGATCCTGGTGCGCAAAATATTTCATCACTACTAATGACATCTGACCATACATCAGCTCCACCACATGTATGATTAGGTTTTCCTGGCGGTATTTGGTATGTATATCTGTAAAACAATTTCTAATATAAAATCTAATACAAAATCAATAATCTAGAGATCTAACACAAAACTTGGCATTTATCTATGACTTACGGATCACATCTGCCTGTAGTTTTATTGAGGGTAGCAAATGGACAATAAGCACCTAGTGGACAAGCTACATAAAAGTAAACACAGAGTTATATTATTAAGGTGAAAAATATATTGAATACGAAAATTAGTTATCAAATATTATAAAAGTATATTGTTATAATAAGGCTATTTTATTAATAAAAGTATGACGTTAAGCTCAATTTGGAATATTCAAAGATAATACTCAACGGTGTAATCATTACAATTCTATTGCTTTATATTACTAATCTCTTCATTCCTAGAAGGTCTTCCCACTATAACTTTAATTCATACTGCTGTGATGCACGGTTTATAAATCTAACTATTAATTCCGTAAGAAAACAACAAAGATAATTTAATTAGTAATAAGTTGTGAAAAAAATATACACTTGTACAAATATTTTTGAAAATAAATCAACAATAATAACACATTCATAAATATATAAACTATGAAAAATATTTATCATATTGGAAATATAATCAGTATGTGGAATATATTTTAAAATTAATGTAATTTATGTAATATATTGATTATACATGGAATAATATCGATATAAATAATAATTTATACAATAAAAGATATGGAAAATATGTGAATCACAAATAAAAAAAAATTTAAGAAAGTGAATCACAATTATATTATATAATTTAATGAGAGTATATAAAGAATAGTTTAAAATAAGTAATTGAGGTGGTAAAAAAAATTAAAAAAAAAAAAAAAAATCGATTTTGGAGGGAAAAAATAGTACCAAGACATGACACGTGTCATTACTGGTGTCTGTTTTAGTATTATGTTATTATTATTATTAATTTAGTAAAAAGAAGACTATTTCTATCATCTCTTGCCCTATTTGTTTGATCCACTTTATTCTACATAATCTCACAATCTAATGACCCGCTTTTATACTTTCCTCTTTTTCTTGAAAAGCACCTCTAATTTACTATGAGAAGGTTAGCAAATTTTGGGCGATACATTAAATATCAATGGTAAAATTGTTAATTAATAGATCAACACTCTAGGAATGTCACCTTATTATAAGTTGTGTATAAAAATGATAACAATGGATCAACACACTATATACATATAAATTATGTCTTGACTATAGGAATTTACTTACGAATCATGCAAGTGACACCCTTGGGGCAAAAAAAAGCCAGCACAACAAGGTTGACAATCTTCGGTCCTATCTGGAATGATTTTTGTGTTTTTAATATCAGCTTTGCGATCTTTACCAACACTGCAAGCCCACCCCGGCTCACATCCATCAATCCATGAGCTTAAGTTGCAATTATTATTTGGCTTTACATAACTTGAACTCATTTGGCCTCCACCAATTAAACTGATCATGTAAATCTTAACTTCTGCAGCAGTACATACTCGTTTTGGAACATCTATTTACATACATTAAGAGAATTTTTTAGGCAAATATAATAAGGGATTTCATAAATAAATTAAACAATTTAACGAGATTAAAGAGGATAATTACATGCAAAAGAGCCACAAAACGAAGTGAATTATAGTGGGATTGCATTTGACTTGGTTTATTTCTTATCCCATTTCATAAGAATAATTAATGGAGATTAACGAATACTTTAACAGTTCTAAAATATAGTGTCTAATTCATTTAGCACAATTTTCAAGACTTACTTTTATACAAAAATTATATAAAAACTATTTTATAAAACTTCATATTGAGACCATCAATCTAACTATAACTCACATGATTATAATTTTATATACAATTTTTGCACAAATTAATTAAAGTTTGACCATGAAAATAGAAAGAGGCACTAATTATAAAACGTTGGGAGTAGTATACAACAATGATTTCACTAGACAAAAATGATTTGATTGCCACGAACCCCCTTATAAATTAGTATGATGTGTCATACCATATTGCTAATGAAATAATGATTCGAGAATGTGACCATCATATTGAATTATCATTATTTAGTTATGATTTTATGTAAGTTAAATCATTTTTTTTGTATAGATATAACTCCTAATCATTATAATAATATAAAAAGCATGTAACGAAAAATAATGAAATTGGATGTTTTACCTTTAATTTTCTGCATGCAAGATGTTAAAAATCCAAGGTCATTTGAAAAATTAAAAGCTGATTTCCAATCAGCTTGCCTGAAATGGAAAAAAAAATATTCATCTTAAAACCTTCAAATAACTTAATCAAAAATAAAATAAAATAAAAGGTTTTTAAAAATTACATACACGTCCTTTATACAGAAGCCCAAATGTCTTTTGATATCTGGTTCAAAGACATGAGTGATATTGGCTAGTTGATTATATAACATCTGCGCAACAACTTGAAGTGCTGCTGGATTTTTAGCTTGACTATTATCTTCATCTAAATCATCTTGAGAATAAACAACACTTGTAGATAAAATGATTACAAAGATGATTACCAACATAAGCAATTGCAAAAGGGAATATTGACAAAATTTTACTTTTGTCATATTTTATATGATTGTACAACTCTCAAATATACAAATATTTAGAATGAAATCAATCAAATTGGAAAATGATCTAAAAATAATGATAAAGATGACATTCTATGGAAGTCTTGTTATTGGTATGAATAAAGAAAACACATTCAGTATATACAAATGCAATGTATTAATGGAGTTTGAGGCACGTTTAACTTTTTTGATAAAGCCTAAATCATTTTGGTAAAAATCAATCATAGAAAGAAAAAAAAAAGAATGTGGTTTTAAAGATTCTTATTATGTGATGAAAATCAAGATAAATTAATGTGTAAAAATGGATGAAAATGACATAAAATTTTATTTTATTTTATTACTTTTTTAGTTTTTGGTTGAAGATAACTTTCTAACTTATGAATTGATGATGTAACTGGTAGGGAGTAATGATTGCCTATATTAAAGGAAGTTATATAGGAAAAATATGCACCTCTTTTTTAATAGGCATGAAGCAATATCTAATACACTGAAATTTCCAATAGGTACAATTCTTACATACTATTCCTGCAAAAAGATTATATAGTTTCAACTTCTTTAAATTTTTAATAATGGTTTGTTAAAAATATGGCTTTTAAATTTATTTTTCTTCGATTTTATGTTGTACCTTACATAAAAATTTGGAGAATATTTTTTATATAGATTTAGATGAATTGTTGTAATGTAAAATGTTTTTATAAGAGAATATCTAAACAAAGGTTCTACTACTTTTATTTCGTTTTATTACTTTTAAATAAAAAGAATATGATATTATTATCTCGCCGTTAAACAAAGAAAATAAGCTAGGGATTAAAAGGTGATATTTAAAAATAAACTAAGCCGGCCAAAATTTTGTAAAAGAGATTCAAATTGATTCAACCATATCATATCATCAGAGAAGAAAAACCCATTACAATTATCAATTTCAAGTTTACCAAACATGCATGTAATTAAGTATGATTATGAATGTCCTTCAAAAAAAAAAAAAGTATGATTATGAATATGTTTGCTAATATCTTTTGAAGTGGATTGTAATGTTATAACTGGTCGAAAAAAACATGTTTTTTTTTTTTAATAAATCACTACTTTATTTTAATAATATTATTCCTAGGTGTACACAATATGTGTGCCCATATATAGAAATAAATTTAGTAAAATAATGTTAAACATACTCATGTATCTAGGGGTGTACACCAGTCCAAAATCGGACCGGACCTGGACTGGACCTGTTTGGACCGGGGACCTGAATTGGGTAATTATGAGGACCGGGGACCGGACCTGAATTAACAGGTCCGGTTCCGGGCCAGACCTGAAAAATTAGGTCCGGTCCGGGTTTGGACCTGAATGGACCTGTTTTGTGTCTTTTTCGTTTTTTTTTTAATACAAAACCTGTTGGACCTGCATATGGACCTGTTTTGTGATTTTTAGACCTGTTGCATAATTTAATAATTACATACAAACCAAAATTATCAATTACAAAACTACATAAAGTCTATAAAGTCCCGATTCTCAAACACCAAAAAAAATACAAATGAGTCCACCGAAAATACAAATAAGTCCACGAAAACTCAGTTTCAATTTTTCAGAGTTTGGTTTTCTTCTTTTTTTTTTTTTTTAATTACGATTTTCCCGGGTTTCAGGTCCGGACCTGAAAACCCCGGGTTTGGACCGGGTCCGGACCGGGACCGGGAACCTGGATTTTTAAGAACCGGGACCGGACCTGAATCAACAGGTCCGGGTCAGGTCCGGTCCGGTTCAGGTCGGTTCAGGTCCGGGCCAAGTTTTGTACACTTTATGTATGTGATGTGTGCAAGCTTATTTTTATTTCAAAGGCATGACATGTATCATAACTTGACTAACGAATTAGTTTTGTGAAAAATTCTTGACTAAGGGGCTAGAGTATAACACCTTCCACCACAAATGTTAGATAAAAAGAAATCATGTATCAGGGTTGGCTATATAAGACGGAGCAGTCTGCATTTATGAGATTCAGATGTTGAACACAACAAACTCTATTGACGCTAAACATTGAGTTTGTTATTAGGGAGAACTTAGAAAGAGAAGTAAAAAGAATTGGAGAAATTCAAGACGAGGCCCAACAAATCAGTTGTACTGATTTCAGAAATCTAAAGGACAAATTCAATGATCGGCCCATTAGAAGGTGTGGGAAATTTTCATTACTCCATATATTATCATCAGTAATAATAATACTACGGGTTTTTCACTAAATACCTCAGTTTTCACTTAATCCATTATATACCCATTGAATTTTTTAAACATATCATATACCCCCGAATTTTCAGAAAAATGCATCAAATACCCTTAGGCCCCGTTCTTTTGAGCTGTTCTGCTCTACTTTGCTCTGTCAGGCTCTGCTTTAAAATAATAATAACTAATAATAATAATAATAATTAATATTTAATAAAAATAATAATAATAACTAATATTTATAGATAATAATATTTAATATTTAATATTTAATATTTAATAATAATAATTGATTAGGGGATTTTTATCCACCAATCACCGTCTGACAAGTGGACCAACCAGGTTCCGCCACGTGTCCTTCACGTAGGCCAATAGGAGCCTGCCACGTGTCAATCACAGATACGTCCTCTACGGACCAATCGAGGCACGCCACGTGTCCACCCATGCCAAATGGGAAAACCGACCAACAAGGCCCAATCCTGTCTAGAGGCCCGGTCAGCCCTAGGTTTACCCTAAACCTAGAGAGTGGCACGCTTCTCAAGACTATAAATACTTAATTAATCCTCATTAAAGGGGATCAAGCAATTGAGAGAGCAATTGATCAAGCAACTAATCTCACCTGAAGAACGGAACAGAACAGAAACATTACGGAACACTAATAACCGGCTAATCTCGCTAACAAAGCAGATTACCTACATTAAACACTCTCACCTAGAGAGATCTTATTACTTTAATTTCCGTATTAATTACTCCCTAATCAGGTACTAACTTGACCGTTGGAGGCGGAGCTCTCAGGAGTCTCCGTTATTTTGAAGGTACAGGCGTCCGGTTCCAGTCTCGGAATTGTAACTCTCCCGCAGGACATCAGAAAACCCCGAAACATTTGGCGCCGTCTGTGGGGAGAGTACTTCAGAGATGGCATCCAAGTCTGTACCGACTCCTGAAGAGAGGCGTCCCCTAAACGACCCTCAAGTTCAGTCGGACCATGACACCGAAAGTGAATTTGAAGTTGAAACTCATACAGCTCCAGACGGGACCCTAAGGGCCCGACGTACCCGTCATACCGAAAGGAGGGAACGGGAGCATCTTCAAACAGGAAGCGAGCCAGCAGGCGCACCGCCTGCTCGGCAACAGCCGACTGATGGGTCTGCTCCCATCACAAGGAACGAACTCATGACCTTCATGAGGGACTTCAAGGGAGAGATCCAAGAGTTGATCAACAAGAAGCCGCCTGCTTCATTCAAGGAGCAGTCGGCCAAGAAACCTTCCACTTCACAGAAGAGGAAGCCAGTTCAAGGGCGAGAGGCGACTCCTCATCCTAAATCTAGGAAGCGGGAGCCACCTGCCCTTGATTTCACAAAATTCCGTTCTCCTACAGGAAATAGGAAACCGGTTCGTCATATTCAGGCGGACGGGTCAAAGCAAACGTTCACAGATGCTCGGCTACTGCTAGAGCAGAAGAAGAGTGACCGATTGTCAGAGTCGGCTTCTACTTCAAATTTTCAAGACAGTTTGCGAAATGCCTCGATGAGGCATACTCAGTCGTACCATGAGAGTCAGTCAGGCGGCACCTCCCGTCAGTCCGGCTTTCATAGTGCCCAGGCGGTACCAAACTTACCATTTGTGCCGCAACAACAGTATTTTATGCAGCCACCTCCATTTGGTGGACCTGCAGCAAAAAACGTCCAACCTATGGACTGGCAGCTACGGTTGCTTAGACTTGGTGAACAGCCGTCGGCCTTCTCCAAGGAAATTACTGAAGCCGCTCAGCCGGCCAAAGTAAAAAATGTACTAGTAGGCGCCTATGACGGCACTACTAACCCAGAAGACCATCTGATGGCTTTCACCAACCTGATGTACCTTCAAGGGTTGGATGATCCCACTTGGTGCAAGTGCTTCCCAGCGACTCTCAAAGGAATCGCACAGCAATGGTTCGGCAACCTGCCGACTGGTTGTGTAAACAGCTTCAGGACGCTTGCTTACTTATTTGCCTCCAACTTCGCCATGAACATCCCTGCAAAGAAAACGACCCTTGATTTGGGAACAATTCAGCAGGGCGAGAAGGAGGGGCTTCGTTCTTACATCAGGCGGTTCAACCTGATGAGAATACAGATTCAAGGGTTACCGGATGAGGTAGCCTATACCGACTTTTTTAGAGGTCTCAAAGACGGGTCTACCTTCAAATTTGATTTGGTTCGAAAAAGGGTGGCAACTCTTCAAGAGGCCTTGATTGAAGCAGAAGCCTATATACAGGCGACTGATCTGTGTACGATAAAACAGTCGGACGGGAAAAGGTTCGACAAAAGAGAAGGACGACAGAAACAGTCGTCTAACAAAGATGAGAAAAGAAAAGAGGTCTGGGCGGCTGATTCCTCTAAACAGCCGGCCCAGAAAAAGAAAAAAGAATTCAAACCATACTCCCCAAAGTATGTGTTTAACAAGGATAACCAGTTTATCCTAAAAGAAATAAAGGGACGGATCTCAATTGAGAAGCCGGTCCCCATGAAGGGTTCTGCAAACAATCGGAACCAAGATAAAATCTGTGCTTATCATGATGACGTTGGTCATCACACCAATGATTGCATCAGTCTCATGCGGTACCTAGACCGCCTGGCTGAACAAGGTGATCTTGACACTTATGTCAAGAAATCTACGGGGAACACTTCCTCAAAAAAGCAGTCGGCCAAAAAGAATCAACAGGCCGACAGCTCCGATACAGATGATGCAGTCGTCTACACCATTGCAGGCGGCTTCTCAGGAGGCGGCCCCACTATTAGGGGCAACAAAGATAA